TGTACAAATCAAGAAGTAATTAATACAACTGGATAAACATTTGCCCTTATACTTCTTTTGTAGTATGCCAGCTTTTAACCAAAAATTTCGGAAATTCCACGAAAAGTCTTCTGCCCCCAAATACCGGATATGTGAACTCCAGTGTCTATTGTTGAATTGGAGAAAATATCGGTCAATGTATGAGATAACAATTGAAATTCTGAGAGAATCCTTTCCTGAAAATATTATCTGTGTGTATGAAAAATGTGTTGAATTGGGTCGATACTTCCGTGATCCCTTATATATGTAATATAAAGATTTTCGAATTTAYGGGTGTCTTTATTCGGCATCGGAAAATTGCAAAGCATWTCATAAAATATATGAGGATTTTCGAACATCCGGCTGACATGCAGTAATATTGCAATTGGGCACCATACATATAACAATTTCCATTTTTCTAACAAACTTTATGTCGGTTAGTGTATGAGTTATAAACAGTATATCTATATATATAATAAAATTGCTCCTTTGATTCCGATCCTATAGTTAACATTTTACATCTTAAGGTATTTCCCTGGCTTTGATTCCTTCCAGTTGGATTAATTTTTGACATACAGGCATATTATTATAAGAAAGAGAATCTCTCCGAATTGCAATATATACATATGTATGTCACAGATTGACCGATATTTTCGACAAAAAGTTCGCAAAAGAAACTGGTCGTCCACATATTCGGTATGTACCGGATTGAATATTTGAAGTCCGACTATGGCAAGGTGGCACACCTGAAAGGTTCTATTCGTTCAAGTGCTATACTTTAAACGTTAGGATAATTATACTTACCGAATTGGTCGATTAGATCCCGTGGTATGGGTTTTCGCCTAAATATGGGCAATGTCACGTTCTTGATCCAAATTTGACAACGGTCGTTATAAAGCGTTCTCAAACTGTCTCGGGTTATTATTCGACAGTTATCAAAAAGATCTATCCMCTGCAAATTTTGATTTGAATGTTTTGGGGGATATACATATAAACAGATGCACCTTCCTAATGCTTTTCGTTGTATTAAATAGCAGTCTTGAATCTTTTTGTGGAGTTTAGTTATGGGAATTTAAGACGTTTGATTATTTTTGCTTTATGGACGTTACGATGGTCGGATTATCCACATCCACAAGACCAACTAATTTACAGTATCAATTCTGGATTAAAATTTTGCTGATTTGGCGAGCCCAATCGTCAAGATTGTTTATTACTACATCCTCTAAAGTATGGTATAATTTTCAGCTGTGTTCATTGCTTATTTTGTCTGCAGCGGCCGCTAAGGTTCGACGCGTTTTTATAAGTTTGGCAGATTTCCTTAGAAATGGTTTAAAGAATTTGTTCGTGAATTCTTGGCTTAAAACAATACTATAACGACGTATCAGCTTTCATACTCGCCAAACATGGATACGTGCTATCCTTTCCTATTTCCAGAAATAAAGAGAACCGTCGCTTTAGTAGCTAAGATGACTAAGAGACACGTTTCGGCGATATAAAGAAGCGCTGGCAGAAGTGCATAATTTCGAATGGTGACTATTTTGAAGGTGATAACAATAATGCAGACGAATGGTTAAGAACATATTTACTATAAACGGGAAATTCCGCTTTTCTAACACACTTCGTATCTGTCATCAAATTACAGTATATCTTTATTAGTTGTCCTACGAATTTGACCATACATTAAACTAATCTCATACATCCGATATAAATGGGGAATGACTTTATGTCCCACGGTATGTCAACTATTTGATCACACCTGGGTACCAGAAAAAGGTTTTTGTTTGCAACTTTTTTATTTGTAATGGCAATCCAATTTTATTATCTATACAAAACAATTAACAGTAATAAAATCAAATTAACACATTTGTTTTCCAAACACTTGCTAGATTTTATAGAATTTAAAAAAATGTCTCTGCTGCACATTTGATCAATTGGTTGACATAAACGATTTGTTTACATAATATTTAATATGACCCCCCTTTTACTGCCTCAACTCGTTTGGGCATGGACTCGACCACCTTCCTACAGAAATCTCCGCAAATATTTTGACAGCAATTTTTAGCCTTGGTCAAGATTGTGACACTCACCGTGGACATCAGAAATCGGCCGCTTGACCTCAACYCTTATGTCATTTTATATGATAAGTTTGTATAAAGAACTTGACAAAAGCTTTACCCGCCTGTTTAACAAAAACATGTCTTTTTGAGTTATTTTTAAAGTCTGACCTGCCCACTGAAATTATTTAAATGGCCACAGTTAGAATACTGCGATTGGGTTGAGGTCTGGCGATTGAGGGGACGAGTTGAGTACCTCCAAACCGTTGTTYTGAAGCCAAGCTTTAGCTACGCGAGAATTGTGTTTCGGATCATTATCTTGCTGAAAGATGACGTCCGACACATTCTTTCCCCCACACTCCAGACTCTTGCACAAGCATTGTTGAAGGATATCGACATATTGGTTGGCATCCATTCGTCCGCCAACTCTTACGCACTCTCCTACCCCCTACATCATCATACACCCCATATCATTATATTACCGCCTCCAAACTTGACCGTTGGTTGAACAATACGGCTGGTCAAAGGATCTCGGGGTCTCCATCTTTTCCCAGACGGTTTATTTTTATTTCGTCGGACCATATGACTCACATCCAGTCATTTTGGGTGTAGGTTTTATATTTTTTTGCTAATTATAGTYTCAATTATTTTTACCAACGCTTACGGAAACACCAACCATTCTTGCAGTTTCTGTAAGCGTTGTGTTTAACTTTTTGTTGCACTTAGTTTTTTCATCTATAGCCACACTTAAAAAAATGACAAAGAAAAGCAATAAAAAATACTCACCTTTTACTAAAAACAAGAATCTAACGATTCTAAAACTATTACTTAAAGCATCAAAAGAAATACTTCAATACAAGARCAATATTACGGCGAACAACACTTTGTATACATTTGTAAATATTCTCTGAAAAGTAACGGCATATTTTGGAAAAATTCGCACTTACTAACTGTCCTTGCGTAGGCCTACTTAGTGAACTTATCCCTTTTATTCAAAATTTTATTTAAATAAAAAAGAACAAAATATAATATTTTTTATAATATAATACTTGATATACTTTATGTATATAAGAAGACCCCTGCCACGCTTTAATGTGTATTATTGTAAGTGAAATGTTATTTATTAAGAAAGACGAAAACATTATAGGTTGTATAGAACTTTATATGAAATTTTCAACATACAAATTTACTTCGAGCTGATATCAAACCAACATAAGATGTTAAATATTTTATTATATTAATTTTATATTCAAGTTTGTAACAAATGCTTATTTTTGATAGTTGATTAATATTATCAAATGTTATAATTAAAGAAACAGGTATGATATACCATTCTTAATTAATTTAACAATAATATTTTTACTTGAAAACCAAAAGTATGCCCGCCTTGAGATTTATTTAATCGCTTAATTTGACAGCATTATTGAAACAAGTTACAAAAGGGACGTTTCGCAAATAAGTTTTCCAGTCAAACCCGTTTCAATCCGTTGATCTTTTTGGCCTTTGCATAATAGAGGTGGATTCAAAATTCGCTGAAGAATAATAGGTGAACCGCTTAAACCAAAAATTTGCGATTGACTCACATTCTACATTTTTTGCTACTCCAGTTTTAACTCAAATACATATTTAGTTTTTATTTCCGGAAAAATACACACAATCTAGGGGTAATCTAGTCTAAAAGCACGAATTTCAGATAATTTTTGAAGTGGCGTAAAAAATGTAAACCATATTTTTATTATCTATTTTTTATTAGTCTTTTTTTTAATATTACTAGAATACAACAATAAATCAAAAACAAAGTTAAAAATTTCAAGAATTAACACCTGATGAAGTCTCAAATAGTTAGCACAAGACCATACCCACGATTTCAACTCGTAGCAATCTGAATTCAAAACTGAAATTACTAACGGAAGCAACTGGAAATACAGAAAAGTTGGAAAATATTTTTTTCACGAAATGGTAATATTTTAAATTTGGAGCCTATAAAGAAAAAGATAAAAATTTCAAGTAAATCGGTTATGTAGAACCTGAGATAGGATAGTTTTGAAAAAAGCTTTTGTGAGAAAGACGGGTTAAAAGTTCCCGGTATCCCTGTATCTCAGGTTCCTCTTGTATTCTTGAATAGTTATCATTAAAAATATAAAGAGAAATAAATCCATCTTCATCAACAGTATTGTAGAAATTGTCTACTTTCGTTTAAGGCGTTGATTTCTTGGTTGAGTTCTATTTAACCATTCATAATTTCCAGCAATTAAGGAATATATTATATTTGTGCTGGTTTGCAATTGTACCCGCATATTTATGGTCAATAGAAGGGTTATAACACTTCGACATAGGGACGATTGCTTAAACATGCGTCAATCTCATTGGAATAAGTAGAACGAAGAAATGACCAGACAGTAATAGAAAAACTCATTGTTACCATTTAAATCGTGTATAATTTTGTGCAATACTAGAATATAATGTATTCCGATCCTCTGATTGACGTTTTCAACATTAACTCAACTTAAGTATGTTAATTTTACCTCTTAGGTTGTGTTGATTTCGCAAAATTCTATATTATTTGAAGATGTTTTTAATATAATTTTAGCTGATACGAACTAAAATCTAGTAATAAAATTAAGTTTAATGGCCTTTAATATAAGCTAAGAAGGTACCAAATATGTTAAAAATTTATTCACAATTCCTTCAAATAATGAGTGCTAAATTCTTTCGCAACATTTTTTAACAAAAATTATTGCCAAACCCCTGAAAGTATTTGATTATTGGTAATTTTAAGTTAAAAAAAATTGGGTTACTCCCAAACTTATTTATTTTTATTTGGGTATTTTTAATGTAATACTTTGATGCTTTTACGAGATACACTACATATGTATATTACGAGCACACGTATGTACTTATCTTGATTTCATTTACCTTCGTTTTCAGCAATGGCTGTCCAGCTGATTGGATATGGATTGTGCCGCCTATGTCTGGCTCGATTACGCCTGTCTTCCATCAGGAAATGGCTTTATACTATTTAAAGCCATCGTTTGATTATCAGGATCCAGCTTGGCGTACGCACTTATGGAAGAAGGGACGCGGRGACGCCAAGATCAAGAAACCGAGACGTAAATTTAATTTCAAACAAATTGCTAGGTGAGTGGGCCTCTGGCTATTAGTATATGCAGATACACTTGTACCTACATGTGTGCATAAGGAAATAAAAAGCAAAAGCAAATGTGAGGAGTGAATTCAAGTTAAGCAATGAATGAATGAAAATGGTGGCAATAAAAACGCGATTGACGAAWGCAAACTGGCGTATGCAGGAAATATTTTACAGATCATTCTGAAAAATTTTGCATAAAGGACTATAGGTCTAAAACCGTTTTCGAGCCAGCGGTTTTTAAAGAAAACCTATCTACGATCTCGTACTTTTGTTTTTACTAAGAAACGTGCGTACCTAGTTTCATTAAGATATCTCAATTTTAACTAAATTTTCAGCTTGCGTCAACGAACACACGTGCAGACGGGCAGACAAACAGTCACTTTTCTCATCATACTGATTATTTATATACATACATATATATTTATATACATATATAACTCTATCTCGATTAGTTTTAGGTGATATGTTCAACCGGTAGGTGAACAAAACTGTTATACTCGTAATAAAATGTGCAAGTGTATACAAAAAGGTCCGCTCTAGTGTGAATATATGGTTGACATAAAGCGAGCGCAAAAAAGTGTTCTCTATTGACTCTGGTAATTGCTTGGTTGCCTTGTTTTCATACTGTCGTATTTACGTACTGTACGTATTCTGTTTAAATGACACATTCGTACATACGAATACTGGATTATCTTTTCACTTTATTGTGCTTGCATTACAACAAATACTGGTAGAACCATATTAACATAAAGACAGATATTCAGTACAGTTTATTTACATATTTTTACAAACGTGTAAGCCATTTCTTTTGCCAACAAATTTTATTCGATACGTATGTATATGTTGTTGTAATTCAATGACCGTTTCGTAAGTAACTCAAAGTTTATTGGATTAAATTGACAATGAACAAATAAGGAGGGGCTAAGTTCGGGTTTAACCTAATATTTCATCCTCTGTACCGAATTGCAGTTTTATATCTTAATTTAGTGCTTAGTTATGGCACTTTATGTGTTTTTGGTCAATGGCGATTTGTGTGCGGGGCAGTGATCCGATTACGTTCATCTACGAACTCGATTTTTTTTTATACTAAGGAGCCCAACATATTAGGTCTGCAACTTTGCTTCCTCCGTTTTCTAATAGATGTCTCTAGGGTCAACCACTGGTCGATAGACATATGTGTCAACATTAACCCCACAAAATATTTGTAGAGATCTCTTTGCATCCCAAACTTATTGTCAACTGAAAATGTCACTTTTTGAGCCGAATTTTCTACATTTGCGGGAAATTTTGCTTTTCTCTTTCAATTCCAAGAAAAGTGTGGTTGAGTACCCGTCCACGCTTTACTGAGGCTGACACATACATAGATAAAACTATTACTCTACTACTACCACCAATACGATTTCTATTAATCTTTCGTATTTTTAATCAAACTTCAATTTTTTTTATATTTATAATTTGCTGAGTCACCATGGACTTCATTATTGCACATTATTGTCAATTTTAGTCCACCTTTCGTCTTCTGTTATCATTTGCTTCAGAAATGTTTAGATTCCTGCAAATAATAATTTTTCACAGACAATTTATGTGATATCCAAACATCGAGCTTCTTTTTGTACCTAGCCTCTTTTAAATAGTTCAAAACTGTTTGATGCTGAATGTTAAAAATTTCGAAATATAGAGAATTTATTAATTATTTTCACTAATTTTTGAACAGSTGTAACTTTTTTTCAACTTACCCRGATTTTTTGGTTAAATGAAGCTTAAAATCTCACCTTTTCAATACTATATGGTATGACACAATGTGATTGGTAGCGCTGAAGAATAGGACTGCAACGACATCTATTGACAAAATACGAAAATACTTTTTCGACTAACTAATATATCCTACACATTGACCAATATTTTCGATAGAAAGTCAGCAATATGCGGGAATAGTTATGGCCAATTTTTGCTAATATATTATTTATACCTGAGATGACATACCTTAAAGGTAATACTGGTACAAATTTTTAGTTATGGCCAATTTTTGCTAATATATTATTTATACCTGAGATGACATACCTTAAAGGTAATACTGGTACAAATTTTTATCCCGATAGAATAATTGGTATTTGATTTGTAGAAAGGAAAGTGAAAAAATCAGATTGAATTTAAAGCTGCGAAGAGTAGGCGTGATTGCAGTCCGATTTCTTACTGTAACATGGGTATGTCAAAATAATCGTATGTTGAAAATTCGTTTGAAAGTAGACAAGTAGGTCTGGAGATATGTGATTTCACCAAAATTGGGAGGGTGCCTCACCAAATTTTTATATATGCTTTTGTAAAGCCCCAATATGGGCGAAACATTTTATATCTCTGCTGTTCTGTGCAAATTTCAGTGATATGGCTTGAAGCGATTAGGAGCTATACCATATGATATACACCATTTGATGGGCTCAAAAATCGATGTTGTTTATGTTTTTCATAAATTGCTTTCTGTACATGTGTAGCATACGGTGGTAAAAAAGTGTTTGTTTTTTAACAATTTAAAGTCGTTTTAAAGCTTCAAATTTGTAGGGAATACTCAGCAACTGTAATCGCAAAAATTCCCAAACTTCGATTTTTTATATCAATAAAACAAAACAAAAAACCCAAATTCTCAACTTTTTTTTTCAAATGTCTGCCGAAATTCCAATTTTAGGTATGTATATTTGGATAAGCCCCCGGAATCGTGAAAGAAGTGCAAGCCCATTTTTTCAAGGCGGGGGTGTTCATGACGTTGTAACCTATTTACTGGTCTTAGAAATCTTAAAAAATTCCGGACAGCACATGGTATGACCCTATAAACCTATAGGGTGACGGGGCCATGCCCACTTTTTAAAAAATTTCAAACCACAAGTGCCCTTCGATGTTGCGATTTCAACTCGTCTTGTTTTAGATAGTACAAACATCCGTTAGGTGAACAAAACTATTATATTCTATAGCAGCATGTTGCAAGTGTTTGAAAATATTGACTATTTAAAATGTGTCGTTTTGCGACAGCTGGCAATCGTATTGTTATAAACTCACATATTTATGCACACACATATATACATATGTACGTGTATATGTCCTTACGTGTGTCGCATGCAAAATACGAGTATTGGCAGATCTGAAGTGTAATAAGATTTAAGAGGCGAATTATAGCGAAAATGTACATGCTTTTGGACTCAGAAAGCAATGGGTAAAAGCTGTTGTTTTATTTAATAGCTAAGCTATGTCTTTATATAATTCCTTCTTTCTCTTTTTGGACTTAAAGGAAAAATATCCTTAACATCGTTAATGCCAATACTGTTTGTTCTTTTCTGTATGTATGAATTTTTCATATCAAGTAAAAATGGATAGCACATATTATTCAACCATTTCGAATAAACGCCCTTTACGTACAAATGTAAGTCAACAGATACGTACTTGTATATTAAAATATTTGTGGGTATAAGCGAATTTAAATTAACAGTGTACTTGTAAGTTTATATATATGTATATATGTAATTTGGTAATTAGTATTTGTGTTCCACATTTTCTGTACAAGSCAATGAAAATTGGTTTTAAATGTACATTCAACACCAATACTTTCACAAAGATGTTAAGTTTTTAATTGAATCGCAATACATTGCATGGCGAAAATTGGAAAACGCTTCATAGTAATTTTAAATAATGATGCTTTATGAGCATCATAAAATGAAGACAATATAGTATGTACCATATGTACAATGGAGCGCATATTATACTCTTAACAGTGTGCCAAGAAGTTTGCAATACCCTGAAACGAGTTGATTCGGTATACTAATGTTTATCTGTATATACGTAAAATCCTCAGTTTGCCGATTTGAAATGTCGGCAAATAATTCTCCTCCTAAAGAGCTGCTCGAAAAGCGTTATAGAACATATAGCGGTCCCACAAACTGACCGATAAAGATCTAAAGTGTTGTGTGCAAATTTTTATTTTACAGGATATCCTCATTCCTTTGGCATTGCTTATTGTCTAAGGCAAAGTTACAAACTCCGAACATATTGCTTAGATCGGATCACTAAAGAATATAAATAGAACTATTAAAAGTTAACAAATAAGGAAGTATTAAGTTTGAACATATTTGAAGGATTTTAGGTTACTGGACCAGTATTTCAATAGTAGCTACCATACCAATTGAAATGAAAGTCGTCGTAACCAACTTCACAAAGTTTCACGATTCAATATGTACTTAAACAGGGTTTATTCGGAAAGTAATAGAACAGATTTTTTCCACCGCGACATTATTTCTGCATGCGCGCGAGGGCGTTTTTAGCTAAATCAGTACAAACATTTTCTGTGAGTGGTGCAAGCCGAAAATGCCTCGTTCGTTAGAGCAGAGGTACGCGATTAAAATTTATCAAAATCTGTGATTCATGGCTTTGTGCCGGAGCACTAGACATACGCAAGGTATGCGTGAAGATGGTCCCAAAAGCGCTCACTGATGATCAGAAATGCGGCAAGTGGAAGTGTGCCCGGTCTACCTGGAATGTCCGGTCCCTTAATTGGGAAGGTGCCGCTGTCTAGTGAAGATAACGGCTAACATCACCGCCGTCCAAGAAATGTGATGCACGGGACAAGGACAGAGACGAGTAAGTACTTGTGGCATTTACTACAGTGGCCATATAAAGGAGCGCAAGTTTGGTGTGGGATTCGTGGTGGGAGAGAGACTCCGTCGCCGAGTACARTCATTCACCCCGGTGAATGAACGTCTAGCCACAATCCGCATCAAAGCGAGGTTCTTCAACATATCGCTGATTTGCGCCCACGCCCCGACGGATGAGAAGGACGATGTGASCAAAGATGTCTTTTATGAGTGCTTGGAGCGCACTTATGAGAGCTGCCCCCGCCACGATGTCAAAAACGTGCTTGGCGACTTTAACGCCATGGTGGGCAAAGAAGGTATCTTTGGCAATACGGTCGGTAAATTCAGCCTCCACGAGGAAACATCCCCAAATGGGT